TTTCATCGAGCTGGGCAGATTTCATCGAGCTGGGCAGATTTCATCGAGCTGGACAGATTCAGAGGGGGTTCGGGAAGAACCTGATGAGCTGGACAGGCATTCAACGAGCTCGGTCAATACCTATGTTCTTTGCCACAGCATCTGACGTTATTCAATACATTTCTCCGTTCTGTAGGTAGTCTGGGAAGTTCGCGGGCCATCACATGAATGTCACTCCGTCGGTCTGAATGCTACAAAGCCCAGGACCATTCCACAAACATTTCTTTTCTGAAGCAGAACCTTGTTTGGATCACCGTTCACTTCTAAAGTTCTCGGAGAATATCAACTCTGAGTCGTCCACACGCAATGGCTACGGTTCAATGAACGAATGGAAGAAGTCAGGATGCCCAAGCTAATGTAGAGCCAGAGGGACGTCTTATTTCAGTAGTAGCAGCAAGTTAGGTCGTCTACTTAAGTGGCTGACCTTGTCATGAATGCTCTTGATATTCGTTGAAAAAGGGTTCATAAATGGCTGGGAAATATTACAGCATGCTTGAACGCTTCAACTGGCGTACATGGATCCCAAGCTGTGGAAATCCTCTCCTCGACAGGGCATCTGGCCGCTTTGCTGCGCGACTCGAGGTGTATGCATATCCGACGTCTCTGTGAAGCCCAGGAATTATATCCCACCGGCACCTGATCAGAGGTCTTGACAAGCAACGTGGGCCAACCTTCGCAAGCCGCCACCCAGCTGGTAGATACCTGCCTATCTTATAGACATTTTTTCCTTTTCAAATCCCGTCTTCTCTCTTCAAGTCTTCTTCATAGGTTTGTGTATCACTCGATATCAAAGCTCGTGCCACATCCACAACTACTCGTCGCCCTCGGGTTGCCCACCACCTTGAACTGACTCCCGATCAATTCCTGGGTGAAATCGATGGTGCTGCCCTTTAACAGTTCCAGGGATGCCGAGTCCATGACAACCTCTGCTTTGCCCGTTTCGGAGCCGTTGTCGTCGTTTGTGAATATCGTATCTTCTTCCGCGTCGATCTTGGAAGAGTCCTCCAGGGACATGAGGTACTGGAATCCATGGCAGCCGCCGGAGGTGACGGTGACGCGGAGGTGGGACGATGACGGTGATGAGGGGGAAGAAGAGGACGTGAGGGTGTTTCTCTGCGCGGGGGCAGATGTGATCTGTTTCAGGCGCTTTGCAGCTCGGTCGGAGATGGTGATTGTCATTTCTTGTCCGTCCTCGTCGACGCGAGGGTTCTGCACGACGACTGTCGCATGGCGAGCGGGTGTGGAGGAGAGGAGGCGGCTTTGGGGCGAGTTCTGCTTTTCGAGCGGCGATAGTATAGGATGGCCACGAGCATGTCGGGCGTTTGTCATCTGCGTGTGCTTCAGCGAAGCGTTGGAGATGCCCCGACGACACGCGCGCAGGTAGGTCGTCGGGTCTTGTGTTGGCCTGCGTAGAGGACGTGCGGCTCGGAAGGCGAGTCTCATCATCGAGGTTTGCGACATGGTTTCTCTTTTAATCTCCCCTGAGACACAATCAACTTTTGACTCTAATAGGACTGCAGCGGGCAAAAACTGAGGAGAAGCCAGAACAAATGACGACGATGGCCGGAAGAACGTCGGCCGTTGGGGACGTTGCTGACAATTCCGCTCGTGGTCCACTTTGGCTGGTGCAAACTGCGTAGCGGGCAGTCAGTGTATGACTCTTGGTAGAAAAAGAAAAAGTGTCGAGGACCAAAGACTCTTCATACACATCAACGGCATACCTGTCACATTACCCAACGACGAGGAAGCGGCTCTTGCTCCGATAAAGCCCAAGATCTGACACGAGGGTCATAAGTTCACTGTTGCTACAGATCGCAGGCATCCTTCTGAATATCGACCCCACCGAGGACCTAACAACGAATAGATACAGAACTTCGTCGGACTGGAATTTCAATTTCCACCAGTGGCGCAAGCTGTCTATATTTCTTTTCGAGAAAACGGAACGCATGACTACATACAGAGGAGTCGCATGCTACTTCCAGAGCCGAGGGCTTCTCCAGATCACATAGTCCTTGACCGGATCCTATTATACCAACTCTTGCACAAAATAAGCTGCACGAGAGTGTAGCATTTTTCTGAACACCATGTCCCTCGACCCATGCTCCCGAGACTATGCCCTTTCCCTGGATGCCACAGACCCGCTCTCTCATTTTCGGGCAGAATTCCACATCCCGACTCTGGCAGATCTGAAGAGGCCAACCCTCGCAAAGTCTCCTGAAGAGGCGCCCTCTCAGCCTTGCACATACCTGTGCGGCAACTCTCTTGGTCTTCAGCCTGTCAGAACCGCAAATCTGGTCAACTCCTTCCTCACTCAATGGCGCACCAAAGGAGTGTTGGGACATTTCGTCGAGCATGCAGACTCTCCCCTCCAACCATTCTTGCACATCGATGATCACGCCGCGAAACTCATGGCCCCAGTCGTAGGTGCAGTTGAGTCGGAAGTGGCCGTCATGGGTTCCTTGACGGCGAACTTGCATCTCCTCATGTCGAGTTTTTACCGTCCCAGCAAGAAAGGCGAAGGGAGGTGGAAGATCCTTCTCGAGGGTAAAGCCTTCCCCAGTGACCATGTGAGTAGGACCCCATGTTCAGGAAGCTGAGGAGTAGTCCTGTTTAACAACAGTGTCAGTATGCAGTTGAATCGCAAGTTGTCCATCACGATCTGGACCCGGCAGAAGCAATGGTCTTGTTGGAACCCTTCGATCCCAAATTCCCTCTCCTATCCACCGAGCAAATTCTCCAAACGATCGACAAGCACGCCTCGGAGCTTGCCTTGATCCTCCTACCGGGCATACAATTCTATACCGGTCAATTTTTCGACATCCCTCGAATCACAGCCCATGCTCACTCGCACGGCATCATGATCGGCTGGGACCTGGCCCATGCCGTCGGCAATGTTGATCTCAAGCTGCATGACTGGAACGTCGATTTTGCCGCTTGGTGCACTTACAAGTATCTCAACTCTGGGCCAGGAGCAATGGCCGGCATCTTTATCAATGAGAAATTCGGCAAGGTTGACATGGAAAGTCCAACCCACAAGTTCTGGCCGCGCTTGAGCGGCTGGTGGGGAGACAATAAGTCCAGCAGATTCCAAATGACGAATAGTAAGTTTGAACCGTTTTCGTCCAAAGTCCTCGGCTGATGCGATCGGTGAAGAATTCGTCCCTAGACCTGGTGCTGCGGGCTACCAGCTGTCCAATCCGAGCGCGCTCGATCTTGCGGCCGTTGTTGCGTCGTTGCAGATATACAACGAAACCTCGATGAAGGAGCTGCGGGAGAAGTCTGTGCGCTTAACTAACTACCTAGAGCAGCTCTTGGATGCCATGGCGTTGAGAAGACCAGAAAAGTTCGATATCATCACTTCCCGAAACCCAGAGGAAAGAGGCGCACAGCTCAGCATCCGACTGGCTCCTGGCTTGCTTGATGGAGTCCTAAATCATCTCGAACACGAAGGTGTCATTGTGGACGAGAGGAAACCGGATGTCATTCGAGTCGCCCCTGCACCTCTGTACAACTCCTTCGCCGACGTCTTCCACTTCTGTCAGGTATTGGACGACGCTCTGGGCAAAGACACGTTGTCCACTGAGAGACCAGCCCCGGCGTCAGAGGGGCTAGCGAGTCTCTGAGGTCGAGAGCCCTCATTGCCACACTCTAGCCAAAGTGCATTTAATCATCCTCGCTGTCACTTGGATCAGCCTCACGCCACAGGACAAAATCAAATTTGCCATCGAGGTTTGCTCGCATGTACTCGCGAATCATCTCCTGGGTCTCCTCAGTCAAATCATAATCGGGATCGACGGCCATCAGCGATAGGTTGAACCCTTTCTGCTTCTCAGGATCAAGGCTCATCAAGAACTCCATGATCGCGCCCAAGGTAAACCGAGTCAGAGCGTATAACGTGAGATTCTTCAAGTATTTGAGGTTCGCAAGAGGCTGGAGAATGTCGGCCGACACTTCGCCACCACTTGTCCAAAAGTCTTCAAGAAGTGGCAGGCTAACAGCGAGAGAAATGATGTGCTCTTCCGAGAATTCATCGGAGACATCTTTCAAGACCAGCTCTCTCAAATTGGTCAAGTTACACAATCCCTCAACCATGAATTGTAGGTCATCGGGCATAGTATCTTCACCATTCCCCTTGAGCCATACCGATTCGAGGGTTCTCTGCTCAGCCAACGCACTGTGGAACAACTGAGAGTTGGTGTGGCGTACGGTATATCCTTCAAGGGATAGCCGGGTCAACCTCACGCTGGGAGAACACAACACTCGGGAGAGAAGGGCGGGTCCATCAAAGAATCTCTTCAAGCTAAGATCGCAGAGGTTTTGGCACGAGCTTAGCCAATGGACAACTTCCAGGAATACGTCGTTGTCTCGAGCTTCCAGCTGGACATTTCCGTACCTGTCATCAAGCTTCAGTGTCTGAATCTCGGTGCAGTCTTTGAGCGCATTTAGGTTTCGCACAGCATCTTGATTCAGACTTCCCAGGTCCAATTGTCGCAGCGTTTTGTGCCGGCCCAGGGCTTGGAAGGACCTCTTTCCAAGGTCATTATTGCTGATTATTTCAAAGTAACTCAGCGTATCCGGTTTGAGCTCGTTCAGAAAAGTGGCAAATGCCTCGTCCGCGTCCGGAGACTCCCATTCGTGTAAAGTCAAGCTGTGGAAGTTGTCGCAATGCTCCGCAATTGCGGCTCCAGCACCGTTGACCAGAGCGTCACCTTTCCAAAGCACCATAGTCTCCAGCTTTGGAGAGCGAGATATCCACCTTGTCAGGAATCCGGGACTGATAGGGCCGTCAATCTCCTCCAGCAGGGTCGTCTTGGCAGTGACTGCATCTCCGATTGCATTGATGGTAGCACCGACGTCTACCACCTGCCTCTTGTATTCGGTCTTGGGGAAATGAAAGGGAGAGAGTTTCCCAGCAAAGAACTGTTTTCGGACAGGGCCTGTGAATTTCAGGTCTTCCAACATCAGCGACAAGTTCCGGAAATCCAGGGTTTTGATGTAGCGACAGTAGGGCTTGTAAGTAATGTGATCGTCAAGGCTCGAGAGAGTGATCGAGCGCCATAATACTGTCCATTTCCGGTAGAACTGTGCCTGTTCAGCGGATTTGGTGGCGAAGTCAGTTGGCCGTTGCCGGATTTCAAGGTCATCTCTCTGCTCGAACGCTGGAGAATGTTGGTGTAGTTGATACATTGTCCGCAGCGCGGGGTCAGCGAAGGACTTTGAACTAAGGGCGCAGGTGTAGAGGGAGCCAAATTCTCTCTCGATCCCCAGCTCCTCACAAATCAGGGAAAGGATTTCGTCCGGAAGGACAGCGCCCTGATATACAGACATGGTGCCGGTCTCCCAAGCCCACAAGGTACGGCCAGCGATAGCGATATCCAGGAGGAGAGTATTTTGATTAAGGTGATGGAGATGAGTGGAATAGAAGAGAAGACACTGAGCTAGTTGCTGGTTGGGATCAAACCCTTGATAGAGAGCGACGCGATGGCAAAAACAATCGATATCTGGAAAAGCTACATTGGAGACTCGTTTGAATGTGCCACAAGAGTCAAGTTTTGAAATGACATCACATCCTTGACACCCTCTGCCCCTTTACGCGTCGACCCGCGTCTAACAAATACTAGATACCTGCCTCGCTGCTTCACCACTTCTCACTCTTTCCAACCCCATCAACTACGTTTACACACATATGCCGACTCTCTTGTTCACCGTGGCTCCTTCCGGGGCCGCATACTTTCATGATCTTCTTACCTGCCTGGCAAAGTTCGATGAGGATGTTTCCCTCGAGGCGACACCACAGTTTGTAAGTTAGACAACAAGTCGTAGCCCAGTTACTAACGACCCCTTGAAGCTTCGACTTTCGAGTCTAAATATTTCCAAGACTGCTCATGCTGCATTTACCCTCAGTTCCTCCTTCTTCAACAAATACCACTTTTCCCCGGGCCCGCGCACTACCTCGGCTCCGGCTTTGCCAAAGCAATGGTCTTGCAAGCTTCAGATTCGGGTAAGCCAACGCTTCTTATTTCGGAGAGACGACAACTTATAGCAACTCCAGGCTCTGCTGTCCATCTTCAAGCGCCGCCTGGGAGACCAACGAGACAAGGACACAGCCCTTGAGACTTGCGACTGCGAGCTCCAGGACAATCTGGACCAGGCAGAATGTCGACTGGTGTTCCGGTTAAACTGTCGACACGGCGTTGTCAAGACATATCGCCTGTTCTACGAGGCCGGGGAAATCCTCCATGCGGCTTTTGACAAGATCGGTTCGACCAACTACTGGTCTGTGTCGTCGCGGACACTGCGCGACATCGTGGAATACTTCGGCCCCAAAACCGATCAGCTGGATTGGTTTTTCCAGAACGGCAAAGTGACTTTCACCAGTTACACGGAGAAGATCCAGGCTGGAAGAGGTACGAGTTTCATTTGGCTCACCCGTCGCTGGTCACTAATATTCGCACACAGAAATCCTCAAGCAACCCATGCACACCTCCGTGGCCCTCGAGCGCAAAGATTTCAGCGACTTCAATGTCCAAGAAGGGTTACATATCGGTACCGTGGTCAAAGACTTCCGGGCGATCGTAGCACACGCCGAGACCATGCATTCTCAAGTGACGGCAAGATATTCGCGAGGCAATCGACCCCTGCAGATCAGTTATGGAGAAAATGGACTCCAAGCAGAATTCACCCTCATGACGAGAGGCTCAGCAAATGTTCCAGTTAGTACGTCGACTAGAACAACGCCAGCTCGGGATCTCTCCATGCGCCCTGCATCGCGACCTCCTGAGGCACCAACACCAACATCACAAACCTCACTCCGGAATCCTCGACCTCCACAAAGTGCAGATACCGGCATGCCGCCTCCAGCACGCAGTTCCTTGCACAATCGAGATCAGCCCACCCAGTCAACATCTGCCAGAGCAGATGCAGAAGACTCCGCTCCTTCGCTTGCTGCTGCTGCAGCCCCAACGCCGTCCATAAATATTGATCCACATAGCCTCTTCTTTCCCGCGGATGACGACGACCACCAATGGGACGAACCCAACTTTGAAGCAGAGCCCGATATTGTGACGTGGGATGAATCCGCGGATAATGCTGCGTCGGCATCGAACTCGACACGCCGGATCCGCGATTCCGAATTCCATTCGTTCGCCTCGATATCGGCGCAAGAGCAGCACGACCGGAGGACGGCGAGTCTGGCGAAATCACGGTTTCCGGTGGAGATTGCGCCAACGCAGCGACTTTCGCAGGTGAAGGGGATTTTTGACTGACCCAGACAAAGCGTCTCTTGAGACTCTCACCCGTCTTTCTTCCCGTAGATGATGAAACTCGTGGCACAACCGGCGGCCACGTCCTTCGGCACAATTTCGTCATCATCAAGTGTCGGCAAAGGAACCACGTTGTACCGATCGACCACATTTCCTCTTTGATCCAGCGTGTCACCACAATTGCCATGTTCGCCCCAACCCCAAGCGATGCCTTGGTTGTCACGACTCAGGGCGACGCAGTGCTCGCTTCCCGCCGCCACAGTTCGTAAAGGCGGGAGGCTGGCTGGAGGAAGCTGGCCGTGGCTATTTCTGCCCACACCCTGCAACAGGGACTGTTCAGACCGTCGCTGCGAAAGGACGTGTATCGAGCTCCACCCGGAAGTGACCACGTCGCCTTCTTCCACCACCATCAACTCTTCAGAGTCTTGGATATCGAAAAACCTAGTGTCTCCCCAGATCACCGGCTGCCGCCCTATCTTGACGAAAACGGTATACTCCCTGCCGGCCACCACTTTCTGCGGCGTCCAAGGCAATAGTAGTAGATCCTCTCCGTCGTCGACCCCTAGGCCACCTGCAATGTTTCTGGGCGACCACAGGATTTTCTCCGTCTTCAGCTGTTGTCCAAGCTGACCCTTTCGACAACTTCCCCATCCGTAGACGCGTCCGTCCGACGCGAGGACAACAACATGCGCCATCGAGCCCACAATGTCAACGATCTCGACCTTGACAGCTTCGCCATGACTGCTATCAGAATCAACCTCGAATATCTTCTTCACTTTTCCCTCCGTAGAAATGATACCGGGACCTAGACCCAGCTCGCCTTTCGTACCGCTTCCCCAGCCGACGATAATTTTAGAATCCACGACAGCAAAGGAAGCTTCCCACGTCGCGGCCACGTCGGTCACGACTACGTCCCTCTCTGAGCTGGCCACCGTGGATGACACAACGTGATGGGTAATCTCTTGAAACACCACCGTACATTTTTCCCGCTCCGACTCCGACTCCGAGTCGATGCTCCTACCGACGTCGAGGTACGACTCGTAAGGTATGCGCATGCGTGTCTTCCCAGCGATGAACAAGCGCCCTCCAGTCGTGAGGACGAGGGTATGATTCCCCCCGGCGACGATCTTCCTGACATTCAGCACCTGCGCTACCTTCCCGCCACGATCCGTCCCCTGGTCGACACCACCACCACCTGGGGCGCGCATCCATGTCCGGAAGACGCACCTCTCCGGCCGCGCGACGTCCTCGACGTGCCCGATCCCCAGCTGTCCCGAGCCGTTCGAGCCAAACGCATACACCATCGGAGCCGGCATCGACGCCACCTCCACCGCCGCGAGTGAGTCCGCAACCGCCATAAGGAGCTTTTAGATCTGTCCGGTGGCTGCGCGCGCACACGAGATACTCACTTGGGCTAGAACGAGCTCATCACGGGGCCCTCACTTTCGTGTGGGAGCTGGACATATCGCGGGATAATAGTGATAAAAAGGGGTCTCTTTCTTTTCGTTTTTCTCTTTCTTTCTCTCTAAGTGAGGAAAGAGACGATCAGAAATCCATTCACCTCATTCTTTTCTTGGGACATGCACTTGAAATATTATCGCGGGTGGCCAACGGTCGAGAATTGGGAACACCTGGGAACTTTCACCCGGTTATTGGAAAAAACGATGGAGATACTAGGTAGTATTAATTAGGCGTGTGTCGCAGTCTTGGCATGTTCGAAAGGGCAACAACTCATCCATCAACAAAGTCAAGCTCGTAGGAATGTGCGGTTTTTCCCTTATTTCCTGGGATGTCCTAGTCTTCTTTCTACGTGTTCATGAGTCATAAATACTAGGTGATATTGGTGTACAACATACAAAAGCACAGTTTTCCCACCACAGATTTGCTCGATCAACATGATCCAACCTCCCTCAAAGCCTGAGCATGTCCTCGGTATCGGTACCGGTACCCAGCAGAATTCGAGGAGTGTCTCGTGTTTGAAAGTCAAAACCCAACAAAACAACAAGAGGACGGCGCATAGGGCATCATGCACCTAGGCACAGCACGTCCCGGAAAAGGATCAACAAGAAAACCGTCTCTCATCTCTTACAATCCCCTCCACCAAACTGTCTGGTTCACACGAATCTGCTTCTTGAGCGGCGTATTGGCACTCGAATCGCCCACCAGGACATCAAAGACATCCTTCTCCATCACCCACGAATCCCTCGCTTCGTCCCAGAAGCTCGTGGCGTACTTCTTGGAGATGACGATCTCGGCCTTCTCGCTCTCCCCAGCCTTCACAAAGACCTTGGTGAAACCTTTCAATTCCTTGGGCGGTCTATTGATGCTTGGGTTTTGTTGTGCGACGTAGACTTGGACGACCTGCGCGCCGTCCAGCTTGCCGGTGTTTGAAACCGTAGCAGAGACCACGATCTCGACATCTTCGTCGCTGACGGACACATCTTTGATCTCAAAAGTCGTGTAGCTGAGACCGTGGCCGAAAGGGAAGGCGACTTCCTTCTTGGTCTTTTCATAGAACCGGTATCCGACATAGACATCTTCACCATAGATGGCTCGGTTGCGTTCCGATTTGTAGTTCAGGAAAGCTGGGTTGTCTTCGTTCTTGACTGGGAAGCTCAGGGGCAACTTGCCGCTAGGATTGGTGTTGGCGAAGATGACGTCTGCAATAGCATTGCCTGTCTCATTACCGCCGTACCAGGCTTGAAGGACAGCGGGAGCATCCTTCAGCCAGGGCATAGTGACGGGTGTTCCAGATTGGATCACGATGGCGGTGTTGGGGTTGGCGGCGAGAACGGCCTTGATGAGATCGTCACTGCCCGGTGGTAGGTCCATATGTTCCCTGTCATACCCTTCCGATTCCCACTCACTATTCAGCCCTGCGCACAGGATAACTTGGTCGACCTCTTTCGCGAGCTGAACTGCTTTTTCAATTTCGGTTTTAATTTCGGCTTTGCGCTCGAGTCCCACCCTCAGTCCTCCTGCACCGAAGCCAGTTGTACCCGGAGTACTGAACGTCATGGTCGGGAGCGTGCCGAAGGTGACTTTGATGTCGTATGTCTCTCCCTTTTCTAGTCTCATCCTTCCGACCTCCTCTGCGGTGCCAGCGCCAAAGAACGAGCTACCCGGGCGTTGGTGGGTCTCATTGTCAACGACGCATTTTCCATTCACCCAGACTTTGCCCGTTCCCGCGCAACACAGACTGAAGTCATAGTCGGTGGTCTCCTCAGGAGTGAAGGTACCATCCAATTCGAGCCAATAGAGAGATGATTTGATCAAGGGGTGTTTGTAATCGACCAAGAGAATATCCGACTTGTTCACAGAGACCTCATCGATGGCCTTGCGATTTGTTACGGAGGCGGGCTCCAAAAACACTCTCATCGTCAACCCATTTTCATTCTGCTTGGTCTTGGTCAATCGTGTCATGAGTGGAAGCGCTTTCCAGCCTGGTGCGCCCAGAGCATATTTCGCATGTGGCACCTGTTTCCGGATACCATCAAGGGGGCTGATAGCATAGTATGGCAACAGTGAAGCTGATCCGCCACCACAATAAGCTGCATAAGCCGCGTTGGGACCAATGATGGCAGTAGTTTTCTGTTTCTCGAATGGCAAAATATTATTGTCATTTTTCATCAGGACGATTCCATTGGATGACAGCGAACGAAGAAGAGCAGAAGTTTCGGGAGAGTCCACCGTGGTCTCCGGTGCGTTTTCTGGGATACCAAGAGGTTCGACCTTCTTGACCAGCTTGAGGATTTCACGAACTCTTTCGTCGATGTCAGGTAACGCAAGCTTGCCACAGCCGAGGGCTTGGTTGATGAGGTGTCCCCGAATATAGGTAGGGCCAGGCATCTCAAGGTCGAGGCCTGCTTTGATTGCCTCGGTGGTTGAGTAAGTCCCGAACCTGTAGCGGTCAGCAACTTCGGGGCCTTAATTCCCACGGAGCTGAAATTTACCAGTCGCTCATTGTTAACCCGTCAAAGCCCCATTCACGACGAAGAATATCCTTGATCAGCCGCGGATTCTCGCTTGCATGTGTACCATTAACCTTGTTGTAAGCAGTCATGTAGCAATCTGGCTTCGAGTCCCTCTGCGCGATCATGAAGGGCATTAGGTAGATCTCTCGGAGGGCTCGTTCTGTCAGAATACTGTCGACGGCTTGTCTTTGATCCTCCTGGTCGTTGCAGACATAGTGTTTGATTGTTGCGGCAACGCCAGTCGATTGGATACCGTTGATGGTGGCTGCACTCATAGCTCCAGCAAGATATGGGTCCTCGCTGAAACTCTCAAATCCACGACCGCCCAATGGTGATCTCTGCATGTTTGTGGTCGGACCGAGAATGACGGATGCTCCCTTGGCGATGGCCTCAGCACCCTGCAATGCTCCGCCCTTCCCGACAAGCTTGGTGTCCCACGTGGCTGCAAGTCCGGTCCCTGTACCGTGTCAATGACATGAATATCGCCTCCTAATGTAGAACAAACTTACCACAAGGAAGACAGGCAGCCGGGACGCCGTTGAAGAAGCGAGTCCCCCGAACACCATTGGGGCCATCGGATACCCGTATAGATGGCACTCCCAGTCGATGTACGGGAGCGGTGTGCCAGAAGTCAATGCCAGACAACAGGGCAACTTTCTCTGCTGTGTTCAACCGCGAAAGAACGTCTTCGACATCGAAGCTCGTCTGGGTGGGTAATGACCCCATTTTGGTGATTTCCTAAGCTCTGATAGATGATTGAAGAGTACAAAGCTGAAAGATGACAATACGAAAGGGCAGACAAGATTCAAGACTGGTATAGATGCAGCAGCATAAGACATTTAAAGGAAGGTGGAGGGTCTAGACATTGACAGCGGCCACGAATAAAACGGGTGATGGAGAACCAATGGCAGAACTTCGGATAGTCAGGGATAGTCAAAGAAGGAACATGCGAGACTTAGGCCGTGGCCCGTGAGAGCGTCAGTAGCAGAGGGAAAGGACCATGCGAAGTCAGTGACGCCCAGCAGCCACTGCCCCTACCTGGTACCTGCACTGGCTCGCTGGTTGCGGCGTCGGCAGATACAGCGGTGGAAAGCCGAGCACCGGTCGGGAGCATGTTGGTCGAGAGAGATATGGTCTCCATACATAGCCTTGGAAGGATAAGATCATACGGCAACCCCCTCGCGGGACAGCATCGGTCCCGGAGCGAGCGTACCAGCTCGCCAGCTCTCATAACAGGGTACCTCGGAGTATCGTCCAGGTATACCTAGGTACCTAGCTCGCTAGGTCTTCAAGTTCGCCAGGGAGAGTCGCGGAGTATCGGCCGAACGAGGCAAAAGTCAATTACGAACAAGGACCAGGAAGAGGGCGAGGAGGGTGAAGACGACAGCAAACATGGTCGAAAGTGAAGAGATCCATCGAGGCCATTTAGGCAGAAACCCTCAGCATGGCTGTGATTGATCCGTCGGCTCATGTTCGGCACGCTAAGCGGACACTTGCCCCGGGCTTGGCATCAATGCTCGTTCGGAACGCAAATCTTCCGCATACTAACGAGTATCTTTCGCGTATCAAGGTGCGAGGCACGGGAGGAGATTCTTTCCAGCCATCATTCGCCATCATTTGCCGCGATATCGTCCCTCTTCCACGCGGCCACCTGTGGCTCAGGATGAGTCCAGACGCAGTCTCCACGATTGTGGGACGTTCCGATAGAGAATAAAGGGCATGTGCCCGCCTTCACGGGTATATCACTACTCTTGTACCGGCTACTTTTGTACCGGCTACCTTTCCGCTCCTGTGCAAGTGTTTGATATCCGTCTACCTAGTATGGTGGCGGAGTATCCCCTCAGGTAACCCGTAGATGTTACAACAATTGAGATACGCTTCCTGACGCCAAAGAAGTGTATCTGGGCTTCTGCACCCCTTGCCATGTCTCTCTCCCTCGTCTGAGTCCAGACGTCATGCCTCTTCGCCTGCAACTTTCTTGAGCACCAATTCCACAATTCTCCAGCTGATGCCCTGAACCACGATTTCATCTCCGAGCTTCCTATTTCCGTCGCAAGTCCACATACATGGCAAGAAAACTCCGTCGTCACAGGGCGTGTTGCTGCGCCAGTCCTGAACCCAACTTGCTGCATCATTGGGTTCTTCCGAACCGCCAGCATTGGCCGCAGATGTTTGCTCGGTTTCGACGAGATTTCGAGTCCATCTCTCAACCAGGATCGCATGTCTTGCTTCAGGCCAACCTTGTTCTCCTGTTTGCTGACGCATGATGCCTTGACAATAGTTGCCTATCCTAATGACGATCCCAATCTCGCTGCTCGAAGTGCCTTCCATATTCTGGCCATCCGACGACGGAGCTTGTGCCTTCGCAACAACACAAGGCGTCCGAATATCCAGTGCAGCGCTGGTTGGAGCCACATTGGTGGGTGGCCCAGTCCAATATTCCTTGTACATCTCAACCTTGCCTGTCTGTGGGTTCTGCATGCTGCCCACCTCTATGCAGTCGGCGTTAGGGAGCAAAAACAAATCCCCTTCGTCCGTGATGCCAGGACCCTTTGAGTCTATCTCGTGCTTCCATACGCAGTGTGCTGAATAAGGCATCGTAATCGTATCACCTGTGAAGGGAGCAAAAGTCATATGGGACGTTCCTGAGAACGCCCAGAATGAAGGGTCTGATGTTATCGGCTCGCCCAACTGTCGCTTGACGGGGAACCTGATGTCGACGAAGGACGATTTGGGGGAGGTCAGGACAAGCGTATCAGTATCTTCGTAGGGAGGAGTATAGCCCTGTCCCAATTTTTTACAAGGTCAGAAAGCAGGCAATGTCCTCAATAAGCCCGGTGCCGGTTTGGAAGAGAATGATGCCGCAAACCCATCAGATGTCCCCCGAGAGCGACGACAGTCCCAAGCCAAAAGATGTTCGTGTCCTCCTCTCCTCGCCAGATCAACGGAGACTTACCCACGCAATGCCTTTCCGTATCGAGATGGAGGGTTTCCGCAAGAGATCCTTTTTCCATTGGGGAAATTCGGCTCCTTCAGCCTTGTCCTCCTCCTTCTTTACCTCGCCTATCGTCCCCAGTCTCTCCCCCAGCATGCCGTAGATCTCCATGATTTTCAAATGCTAACGCATCCACCTGAGCTGGAAGCAGCAAGTGCTGGGGTTCTTTGATCTGCCTCCTCAGCCACAAGAAGGAAACAAGCCAGGGAAAGTTTTGGAAGAAACAGAATATTTTTGTCGCGGTGATGTCCGTCATTTGTCCACTTTCCGCATTGAGTTTTATATCGCCTTCTGTTCTGCTTGCTGAGGCCTCAAAACCCAATAGCACGATATCTATATAGAATATCCTGTTCATATGATGGCCCGAGGCCCCTCATTTTTCGGTTGGTGAGCAGTCTATTGGCTCACGCGAACCACTCACAGTGACAGCCGCCCTACGATGTAGCGTACCATGTCCCCCTCGCAGGGCGCCGAAGGTTGGGCTTCTCGAAGCGGTCGTCAGGCCACTCTAAAGCGCACTCAGTTATCGACGGATAAGAATATTGCAGCTTTCATCACGGGTCGCCTCACCAGTCCCTGCCCACAGGAGCGGGCATTTCTAGGGCTCGACGAGGATCTCAGCTGACAAAGGCCTGGACACCAATCGGGGATAATCCAGCTCTTTAATCCCATACCTGATTTCGTTTCCACAAGACCGGTATGATACCCTCAAAGCACTTTCCCTTCCAACATGCCACTCCCCCGGCTCGAGAAGATGCCCATAATCCCAAACCCCGAGTAAAACAATGCTAAGGGGTATGCGACCAGGCCTCTCATCCCCTTCATCCTTCCCACACTGACAAACATTCCAGAACTGCTAAATGTGCACCACCCTACCGCCATCGCCGTCATCACGTATCCCATGGCCGTGTCCATGGGCAGGAGCACCCCAAACAGGGAGGTGAAGACGAGCGGAAGGAAACAGTACCCCAAAACACTTGCACTTCGTGAGTACGTCAGTGTACTAGAGAAATGACCTCCGTGGCCACGTCCGCCGGGCTCTTGACCATGATCTCGTTGGGCCTGCGCCATTTGATCCGAGTCGTTGGGGTCGATGGGCGGTGTCATGAGCGCGAACATCCAGTGTAGAGCCATAGACCCAAAGAGCGCAATGCCGTAGATATATCCGTAGAAGAATTTTCCCGAGAGGGCGAGAAACGTCCCATAAAGAATCAAGAATAGCAGACCCCCGTAGAGATCACTGTCGTCCATGATGTGGGGTGAAGGACGCGTCCATGGGTTCAGGACTGTGAGTGTCTGCGTATTCCACAATCAGCTCATGGTTTCCCGAGACAGCATATGTGCGACGACGCCTTACCTTCGTCTTGATATGACCAAAGTTTACCCCAAGCTCCTCCATCAATCCCGGTTCTCCTTCGTATCCTTCTGTCCCAAACGCCGCGAGCCAGCCTGTTCTCAGCCCGCCGGAGTCTCCCATGCGACCACTAACACCCTGCATACCAGGTCCACCCCCAAAGCCTCCGGAGGAGCCTGCACCATACCCTGGATATGCACTGGCGGGATTACTGGTGCCACCATACCCTCCATAAGAAGCCTGTGAAGGCGTCGTGTGGCCGGAGACGTTCGAGTAGGATGATGGATAGAATTGGAGGTTTGATGCAGCGCCGCCTCCGCCTGCACCAGGGCCGTAGGGTTGGTTGTAGTACGACATGTTTTATTTGGGCCGCTGAGGCCGTCGCGTAAGTTGTGGTGCAGGTCAACCTGGATTTTTCGAGACCCTTGCTCTCAGAGCGGGAATAAGAACGTTTTGGAGGGAGGGTTGCAACTGACAGGCAATTCGGCAACGTCTTGCGAGGCGAGGGGTGTAGACTGTAGAATGCTAGAGGGGACAAGATTTATTTCGACGCCTTCGTTTGGGTACGGAGTACGAGGTACAAGTTGGCCAGTGTGTTCGCAGGTGCCTCTCAGACCCCAAACTCCGCTGCGGAGGCGTTCTGACTGGCTGGTGCCGACCGAGCCTCTTTTGCCAGTTGGCCTCTCCTCGGGTCCTCAGCCTCGTTTGTCCTGCAGCATTTCCCCGCGAGTCGTTACTGGCCATGCTGTTACTATGTACAATTTTGTCTAATGCTGTTACATACTACAGGAAATTGATGCCGATCCCGAAAGATACACCCTTTCTGGCCTCCTCCTGCTTCCGGACGACCAAGGGCAATGAAAAGTTGAGCTCAAAGCGGGCCACAGGATGGGCATAGACCAGCCCGATACCAGCCGACAGTGTCGGTAGCCCATTTCCCAGCTCTGAGAAAGCGTCTGCAACACTTTGCTTGACTTCCTGGCTTGTCAGTGCACCCTCCTTTTCTGCATTTCTTATTGCCAATAACCTCCCACCGTTGATGAAGGCTTGCAGCCGTAGAGGCTTGTCCTTTCCAACTTTGGGAAGAGGGAACAGAAGATTTGCGCTTCCAGCTGCATAGATGTCACCACCCACCGCATCTGGTCCGTCATGAGGGCCCAATCCCGACAGCCTGAAGCCTCGAACATCCGTAGGACCACCCAGCTGAAATCGGTCATTTATCCGTGACATTTCCGGATTTTGCTTCGATCCCAAAGTTAAAGGGTAGAGGAGGCCGGCACGGAACCCGGTAGTGAAGCTGACGCCGCTGTCTCCTTTTATACCGGGTACCGGTATCGACACTGCCGACTGAGTCTCAACTTCACTTTTCAAGAATGCCGCATCACCCTGCAGAGGACCCCATCCTGCCACTTCGGCCAGCGTTTTAGCATAATAACCTCTGGTTGGTAGCATGGCGTTGTCTCTTCGATCGGCCGTCCACGTGTGAGAGATGCTGCTTTTAAAAGAGTCCCCTGCTTCGCTCCTGACGGTTTGTGAGGCATTTGGTGCGAGACCCGTCACTTGTCGCCAGAAGCCATTGTATCCTATTTCGTGGAATGAGCCGGGCGAACTCAGCCATCGCAACTTAGTCCAGCCTCCCTTCAGCACTTCCTCATGGCTGGCAAAGACTTTCTGCGTCGCACTCTGTAGCCCGCCGATCTGAAAACGCAGATCGGGATTGCTCAACATAGGGGTGTCGAAAGTCGCTTGGTAGGATGAGCGTGTGCGCGTGCCGATGGACGCATTTATGTCCAGTGTTTCAGCACCGCCCAAAAGATTCCTCCATTGCACATTGGCGTAAGCTGACCCTTCCGCGTTACCCAGGTCTGTTCCAGTCTTTGCAAATATCCGGCTTTTCTCCTTCACTGAGTAGTATATGGCAATATCGGTTGGCGTAGTGGTCGGGTCAGTCTTGGAGGGTTTGTCGAGGTAGACGGAAACTGGGTCGTGATAGATACCTACATCACAATGAGTCAATGCTTCCCTGGGGGGTCAAGATATCGCGGTACCGAATTTCCTCAGCTTTTCAGCGGTCCTTGCGACTTCGTGTATGAGCTCAGATTGAGTATATGGTCGGTCGCGGTTGGCGCTCAATAGAGGATTCACCACTGCTCCAAGGAAGCCATGTCTTGTGTTTTTCGTCCCAAGGACTGTCACTGACGACACGGTGGTGGGCAGAGTTGAATTCTGGTCAATGAGCTCTGCTAGTCGCTGTTGCCCTAGCTGAAATGTGCGATGCAACCGGTCATTGATTGCCTTTTCTCGAGTTTCCAACTCTTTTGTGTCGGCCTTTTTCAGCAGCTGAAAGATGCTTTCCTCCGACTCATCTGAAGAGGAGGTTGCCATTGAGCTCGGTCAGCTCGCAGGCTTCAATTGTGACTGGTGATGAAGATCCCCGGGGAGAGGTGCACCGTGAACGCGGGAGCTGTGCTGCGAAAATGTACCAGCTTCACCAGCTCGCCAGTGACCTTGGTCGCTTGGTAGACCCACATGCTGGGGATGACGGTCGAGCCTCGGCAGACTTGCCCTGCTTGGCCATGATGAATTGCAACCGCCTTGTAACTGCGCATGCTCGCGTGTCATTGTCCTTCACCCTCATCATCGCAGCCTTCAGGTGGTGCTTTCATCCACACAAGACGTTTGATTCTCCATTCGTCATGTGTTGTCGCATTTTCTCAGGTTGATCTTGAATCTTTCATTTGTCCTTTCCTCTGACGACCCACCCTCTCTACGATTGCTGCCCCACGAACATGGCAACCAAAGCCGCCCATAAACGACTTGTTCGGGAATATGAGGCAATTCAACGTTCTCCCCCTCCATTCATACAAGCACACCCCAGTGAAAGCAACATACTAGAATGGCATTATATTCTGACCGGGGCTCCAAACACACCATATGGTAGGTTCTAAAGGTCTCAGGTTGAGACGAATGGAATCGCTTACACTCTTTGCCAATACACAGAAGGAGGACAATACCATGTGAGTTATCTTGTCTCTGTGGACCTGTCGGAAGAAGGCGGTCCCAATGAACTCAATGTTGGTGGATATTAATGGAAGTCAGGGTACTTTAATCTTTCCGCCCGATTATCCATTTGCGCCGCCTGCGATGTAAGTCCTTTGCGAGACTGTGTGCCATGTGACGGATGTTTATCACGACGCTGTGCCACAATATTTTGAATATCATTGTTTGGCGGCTAACGGCCATTAGTCGAATGCATACTCCCTCAGGCCGGTTCCAACCTTCCACGAGACTTTGTTTAAGCATTTCCGACTATCATCCTCAACTCTTCAATCCTGCATGGTCAGTGTCGACGATATTGATAGGGCTCATGTCGTTTATGAACAGCGAGGAGATGACTGCAGGAAGTATTGGCGGGTCATCTACGGAGCGAAAATGGCACGCAGCGAGATCAAGATGGTGGAACTCTACGGGTGGCGGATCAGCCTCAAAACCTGTTCCCGGTGTCCAGCCGACCACGAAGGGAATCGGCAACATTAAAGCAGGAGACGGCGGGGCCAAATTCCGGGTAGAATTTCCTGAGGAGGACAAACAAAACTGGATCTGGATGAAAGAGCATCGTATCGATTCGGCCACCGGACGGATGCTCCCTGACGAGGAGGGCCAAGAGGTGAATTGCTCACCGGAGTCGAGAGCCTTGCGACGGATCTTGGGGGGGAGCACCGGTGTCGGAGTGGTGGTTCAAGGCGGCCAGGCTGCGAGGGACGCAGGCCAGGGTTGGATCTGGCGAAACAAGATGTGGATCATGGCGGGCTGCATTGTTGTATATTTCATGCTAGCAAGGATCTTTGGCGAAGGAGAGGGTGTCTTATGATTCAGGGACTCGGAATAGAGCATCCAGGCCAAACAGACCTTTTCGGTTCGAGAACCAGCAGCGGGGTTTTGTTCAGGGAGCAGGAGGCGAAAGATCCGTCAAAGCCTCAAAGGCATTCGGGGAATTACTTGAGATTTTCATTCACCAGCACAACCCGTGACTACCAGGTAGAAGCACTGCGCCTCAAGCGCAAGTTGGGGGCATGCCAAGTCCTTCGGCAAGATGTCGGCAATAAAAAATGATCTAACCTAATCTGATCCCTTGACCCCATTCGCAACTGTGGCGTCTGCGCAACTCGAATTCCACCAAGCAAATTGTGCCGGCGACGCAACTCTCGCAGATGCCAGTTGCTGAAATCATCCCAAGTCTCGCAACCCTTAGCATCCTTCGGGAAACCCCCAGCGATGACCAGAAATCGCATATACCGACAACAAATTGAGTCAAGGGTCTATCGCTGTATTTGACAGGCTCGGAAGCGCGAGCAGCTCTCATGTGGTAACCCCCGTCAATCTTCATATCAACACCACCGCCTCCCTGAACAATCGGATAGAGCACCCAGTCACTGTTACACAAGCTAGAACCCCCCAACCAAACTGCCGGAGCCCACCGGACATTCAGCGAATACGAACCATGGGGGCGAGGGACGGAGTCAACCCGATCGTTGGCCGACATGGGTAGAGAGAAGACCTGTGGTGCCTCCCAGGTGCCTCCCAAGTGCCTCCTCATCATTGTCCAGAACATTGAATGTTGCAATGAAAGCAAAGAGACCCCGTGCGCCTCCCGGGACCGCCCGGATCTCCTCACCGATGCGACACGCACTCTGTACCCAGACACGAAATGTATTCAACTGTCTATCCACACATGCCAGACGCAATCCGCCCGTTGCTGGCCGCCGCGGTGGGCGTCAACGTCCGTGTCTATCTACGTAACATGGAGTCCCTGCAAGCTTTGGCTCAACGTTTGATCGTCAGCCTGGCCCCAAGTCTGCTCAGCTAACCACAATTCTGTTCAGCTAAACCACAATGGCTACCTTGCCAACTGACAAACCTGCGCCATGTCACATTCCCCGGTTGCTGACTAGCTTGAAGAAGCTCTTCACCTTCCCTAGGAGAAACAGCAAGCACCGACGAGCTCCACTCAAGCCGTTGACTCCAGATTCTAGATAGCACGGACCAGCGGTCTGCAAGGACAAACCCTGAAGAAGTCTGTTCTGTTCCTGCTTGTTTCTGAGTTTGAGCGAGCTCCACCACCCCGTATCGGCACCTTCCCAGCACCCTCCCGGCACCTTCCCAGCATTCTATCGACCGATCGTGAATTAGCCTCATGCTCCTATTTGACTCTAGCAACTTCCGAGGTCTATTTCGCTAAGGGCCCCAAATTCTGGATCTCGGGTTGGTTTGCGCACAGTTTCCCACAGGCGGCAGTCATATATCTGCTTCTATAACTATTCCAAACGATCCTTTGCACATCTCTCAACGGTCTCTCATCCCTCCATTCCTGAGACTCCGCGTCAGCATGCAACAGCTTTTATGGGAACTCAGCCATTGAATCGACGTGAAATTCCGTGGTTGCAGGGCTGCATCCCACAAAACATAGAACCTGTGTGATGGACCTCAAAGATGCGCCGTGGCTCGCGTGGTACAGGTGTGATATATCCGTATTCAGGCTCAATCATCGACAGCATACAGCTAACCACTATACCGCCCCGAAACCAGACGCGCCTGATGCTTCTCGCACACCAGACCCTCAAGCCTCTTCTCCCACCAATTTCACCTTTGTGCATCAGGCTGAGGATTTAGCTTCTTTGTCTCACAGAAGGATCAGCAACAGGGAGCAGCGTCATGCTATCCGCTCTCATGTCATGCAGCGTGTCCGTCAGGAGGAGTTGGCCCAGGGCAAAAAGAGGTCGACTGGGCGCCACCGTTCCAATGATGGTAGCAAGCAAAAGCCGCGAAGCGAGTCCGCCCACTCTGAACCGTCCTTAAGCAACGAATCCGTCGAGAATAATGCCAGTAGCCCAATCATCGTTGCTGGGAGCGATACATTTCGGCCGACCAGCTCTCCCCTTCCATCTCCACGTCTCAGTATAACCCCAGCTGCGCAGGCATTCGACCCCTTCGATACCTTGCCGACCAACAATTTGCCGCATCACACTTCAGAGAGCCTGCTGCAGTATTGTGAGTCTGTCTTATGCGTCGGCTCAACTGCGCCCTGACTGTGATTGCAGGCTTTGATGTGATGCTCCCTCTGACATTCTGTGTGGAGACGAAACAAACGCATGACAAGCTTGCCCGGCAACAAATGGTTATGAATAGCAAGATGTCAAATCCTGCCACGTTTCTTGGCTTCATGGCGACGACTGCAGCCCATAGAGCCGTCTTCTATGGCCGACATGAAGACCTTGCGCCCTCCGACGCGAACCATGATGACCTCATCCTCGACCCAGACTATATCAGAGTCAAAAATGAAGCAATGGTGGCCGTACGTCGGACGTTTGATCAGCGTGCGGATGTAGATTACCAGATGCTTGAGGCCTGCTTTGGACTTATTGCGACTGCTACAGTAGTGGGCAATTTCGCAGAAGCCCGAATACATCTGAAAATTCTCGAGCGCATAACTTCACAGCTGAATCTGTCCGAGGAGACGATGATGTGGTTGCCACTGTCAAATGTCAAAGTCTCGGTTGGACTACTTGTGCGCCCTGTCCTCCCCCTACTGTTCACACGCGAACCTTTACCTGCAGAAGTTCTATCGCGTGCTGGCCAGCATCTTCCTTCTCACATGACTCGCTTGGGACAGGATTTCATGGAGCTGGAGAGAATGAGCCAACCATTGAAACTGCTTCTCACCACTTTCGGTGATATTTGCCGTCTTTGCGAAATGCACAATGCGCCTCCCAGGAGTCCGTCTCCGGCAGAAAACCTAAGCTTGCGGAAGAAAGCCACGGAGCTAGAATTCGATCTGCTGGCGTATCCCTATGAAATGGATATTTTCCGGCGAAACAGCAACACCAACGAGCCGGAAATACCAGCATTAGAAGGTGTCATTCGCCTCGCAGGCCTGGGAATGCTGTCGATTGCTCCTCACACCATTCTCGCGTCCACGGGGCTCGGGAGAGCTCTGACGCACCATCAAAAAGCGGCATTTGAAAAGTGGCTGCTCCAGGAGAAAGGATCCGGGAACGGGAACGCGCAAGAGACCAAGGCCGTCTGCTGGGCTCTCTTCGTCTTTGTCCAAAACGCCCTGAAACAGCCAGAGCAGCGGTTCTTCACCGACTCCCTCGCGCTGGTCGCCAGGGAAGCGGGACTGGGACTCGTGACTTGGGAAGAGGTTGAACAGGTCATCTTCGGACTGCTCTACATACCGTGGCTGCAATCTTCGATATGGAAAGGCATCTGGGCCGACGTCTGCAAGGTCAGAAGCGCCTCGACGCACCCTCTCCAGCACGACATCCAATGACACTGGGCCTCAGGCTCGAAGGGTGAGAAACGCCCACACCCGTCGAGCTGTCTGCCGTCTAGCCAAATCGTCCAGATCCAAGCGCCGCAATGGCCCTCTATCTGGTGCCCCTAACTCTCTTATGGATTTTTCACTCGCCAGCGGATGTCTCACGTGTCGACCAGTGCATTACAAGGAGCAGAAACCAAGGAATCGGAAACAGACCGGAATATTTTTACGCAGAAGATGTGGACACAAGACATGGAATAATGGCCGTCATTCATGTACAATTCTATTCTACAACATATTACATCACTACCTATGTGAGAGAGGAGGGGAGGGTTCAAGGCCCCTATTGAGCATGAGCTCACATTCAAACACAAGCTTGTGCAAAGCCAGACACTCATAAAATAGAAAATTCACCCCCGCGGAACGTACGTCCATCAAGTTATCAAGGGCTGCTCTTTCTTGCCGAAACCCGTGAGAGAAGAACCCCTGAAAAACAAGTCAAACTCGACCATATCACATCGGCGTATGGGTCCGCGTTCATTTCAATTCATGGCAATCCGTCCTGGGACATTAATCATGATCCATTCTCCCTTCCTCGTGTTCGTGCGGCAGCCTCCCTCGCCGAACCTCCAGAGGCTCGATGCCACACATCGCCTCCCCACCTCATGGCCCTCTCCACTGCCGCCGTCGGAGTATCCAGTGCAGGTCGGATGTCCAAGTAGAAAACTGGTTGCCCTGTTTCCTGTTCGACACCACCGCCATAATAGTCTATAACGTATCGCACTTCCTTTGTCGACCCGTTGGGGAGCTTCCGGGAGATGTACCAGTCGTGGCGGTCAAAGGGGGGATCTTGAGAGAAATGGTCCGGGAAGACTTTGCCCAACATTTGCAGAATTCGGGCTTTTGGGGAAGGTTCTTGGGGCCGGCCTTGGAAGCGGATCAGTTTTGGTTTCGACTCGTCCTCTCGGGGGTCCGGTTGTAGACCGAGGGCTATTCGTCGTTGGGCGGCGTATTCCTGCCTCGCCCTCTCTAAAATGATGGCCTGTTCCCCCCGCGAACAAGTCTCCCATCCTTTCCATAAGCCTCCGGAGAAGATGCGTTCCCACTCCTCGATCTCAGCCCACGCCCCCTCGTTCAAGAAATTGTGCACGGCCACCATGGCCTCGACGTGTTCCGCGGGGGTGTCGGTGTAACCCTTGCGAAGCATTGCGTTGTACATCTGCTGTGGGGAGGGGTACTCCCAGTTGGACTGCGAGTCACTGCGCGGAATGGAAGACAGTTCCCGGTCAAGAGGCAAATGTATCGATTGAGGGGAATCATCCGGGCGACTGTTGGAGAGGGAGGGCATGTAATTCAGAGGGTTGAGTTTGGATAAAGTTGAAGCATAAGAGGATTGCGGAGGAGGCCTTTGCTCGGAAGATTGAGGTTGACTACTCAGGGATTCCGAAGGTTGGTATCTCAGCGGGTGGTTTGGAGATTTGACTGGACATGATGAAGCTGTCGATGTCGATGGGTCGAGCCGTGGAGGGAAAGGTGACGGGCTTCCATTGTCTGATTTATGCATAGGACATCCTGGCTTCAGGGAGTTAGTCCTTCCAGCATCCGATATGGAGACGTGTTAATAGCATACCGGAGGAGAGGCGGCGGAATGTTGCGGTTGCGGTTGTGGTTGTGGTTGTGGTTGCGGCGCAGGTGCGCTCACTTTCGGTGCGTCCGCCCAGAACCAGCCCATTCTCTGTTGCGTGTAAGTGAAGTGAACCCTGGGCGAAATAAAAAGATCCCCAAAGCAGTGAATGCAAAAGACTCTGGTGGTGAGGGTGGTGAAGTTGGAAGTGAAAATGAGAAGAGATCATGAACCGGAACCCAAGCTGCGCGGCGACAATGAGGACTTTTGCTCCGCTTGGATTGCCGCTTTGCTCCACTTGCATCCGCTTTGACCAGCACCACAGTGTGATTTGGAGATCTTGAACACAAGTTACAACCACAGACTGCGCTGCGACAATAAACAACCCAGAACGCACTAACCTGTCACCTACAGTGGTCCAAGAGCACAGATATGCCAGTTTTTCTGTAAGGGCACGACTCACTTCGCGCCATCTCAGCCTGTGGCCGCGCCGCACATCTCGCAATCCGTCACCCTGCCGCCGCGCCTGATCTACAAGCGACACCAGTCAACATGGCCGAAACCAAGGGCTTCAAGCAGGACATGGTCGTTTCCATACGGTATCGAAACGATCTGCCTCCGCCCCCCATGCCTCCAAAGTGTAAGCTGCACATGTCCCCTTGCAACCCTGGTCTGTTCAGGGCTAACACACACGTTCTGCAGTCCTAGATATCGACACCGGTGGTTTGGCTCAATATCTCACAACAAGTTATGCGTCGGGCCTGGCAAAGAGAGAAGAACCAAACATTGAAGTGGATGCCGAAGGTGGGATGCCTATAGACATGATCGGTGTGCCGGGCTACTTTCTCGGCGACGAAAGCGCAATCATGGCTCCAGAAGTCCAACCGGTGCTAGATCCTGCCGACCAAGCGTTGCTGATGTCGCTGGATCAGCTCAAGAGCCAGGGGGCAAAGAACAACGTCTCATTTTTACGCAAGACACAATACATGACCTCTTCACAGATGGCTCGAGCAAATGATGCATTCATGCGACCGAGCCTTCGAACGACTCAAAAACCCCAAGCGCCCAAAGCTCCGCCTGTGCCCGTTACCCGAGACGACCCAGAAAATATCAAGCGACAGATTCAAAAGGGCTTTGACCTTGCCTATCCGGACAGCATCCCTTTCAATCCTCCAGAGGCAAAAGCAAACCCCATCACCACCCAGGAACGTGAAGCCTGGAGGAATCCCGTCCACCCTGACAACCCCAGACTCAAGCCTGTGGAATTCTACCCTATTATCCCCGATCTTGAGACCGGCACAGACATGGCCTCGAATTGGCAAGCTCTTAAATTCGACAAGCCACCATTGCCTCCACACAAGGGCAGGAGGGACGATCGAATCGACGTTGGCTTACTGATGGCGGCCGAAAACGCAGCTCTGATGCCAGCCTGGCGGGCAGCAAAGGAAGCCTTCGAGAGAGACCCCGAAAAGTTCGCAGATCCCGGACCCGAGCCGTACACATGGTCCCTATCCGTTCCCAAACACCCAGACTCGACCTCGCGCATTCGCCAGCTCTTTGACGATTCAAATCCTCGAAAGGACGATCCCGGTCTCATGGAGCCGCTTCTCGAAGAATCCGCCGACGGCTCCCTACGTCTACCGTTCGAACGTGTCCGTGTCTATCCACGAGCCACCCAAGATACGGTCGACCCTCACCGCGTCATGGCATTGTCACTCGTCGAATCTCAAAACCTTTCCCGCCATTCCCGCTTCCGCAAACAAGGTAACGCGGCGTATTACTACCCGATCCTCGAACGCGTGAAAATGCGAGCCGACAGGGGTAATCTCTCCAAATCGACGCGCAACAACAACAATGCTGCGGGAGACGACGACGATATCCCCGACCAAGTCATGGTCCTCTTCAAAGAGCCCAACGCGAAAGAAAAGCGCTCTCGCGCAGAGTTCAGAGGGGAATATGACGCACTCTTCAAAGACGAATTTGAAGAACTGACCCGCGAAGCACAGGCCGAGGAAGAGGCCGAACATGCGGATATGATTCTGCAGGAGCAAGGCGAGTTGCACGAGGGAGCGCAGGACGTCAGCATGGCCGAGGTGGAGGACGGAGAGAACGCAGAGGTGAGCATGAATGGAGGAGTTTCTCGTAAAGACCGCGCCGATGATAGGAATACGCCTCCCCCAGTGAATGGAAATGGAGCCAGAGACGCCGGAGCCGGGGCGGACGAAGATGGATTTGACGAGGACGAAGACATGCGGGACGATTGATTGATTGCATTTCCCATCTACGAGGTAGATATTCAACCATACTTGTAAGATTTAAGATGCAGCGCCTGCGTCCGAAGTGCGGCGCCATGGTAAGAGGGTTCGGGATAAAGGGGCCTGAGGCTAAAAAAAATCAAATATCAAAAGAGCCAGACGCAGATCAACAATTGTGGCAGCTTTCTTGCCATTCTAGACGGATACCTTTTTCTTATCTCACTCGCGCATAGGCCCGTTCATTCGAAGCCCAGTACCGAGTACAGTCCATGCCCACCTACGTACCCACGTACCTTCGTAGCTTGGTGTGTCCTACGCAGCAGACTACCGAACGATGGACGCCGCCCCATGTTCTGACTGATTGAATTCTGCACTCTCAAGAAAAGTTCAGTGCGAGCTCCGAGGGGGGTGTCCCGTGAAAGTTTTCGCCTTGTTGTTCAATGGTATTCTTCGGTGCCGGAGGCAATTTTGCCTCTCATGCTTGTCGGCGTACAGGTTCGGAAGAGCAGCAGTGCTGGAGGAACTTTTGACACCAATTTTTGGGGGGGGCTTCAAATAGCGGGTAGAAGCTATGGCCTGTCTGTCCGTCATGTCGCCCTTCAAACCGGCCTTGTTATTTTTTCTCCCCGGGCTCAGTACGATCTCGCCAGGTTCCTCAGGTACCAATCCACCAGCCGTCTCCCCTGCTTCGCCTCGCTGATGTGGATCAAATCGCCCTCGATGGCATAATCCAGTCCTTCCGAGGATCCGTTGCCCAGCACACCCACAATCTCCCCCTCCAACAAACCCCCTTCGGTCCAGCGGATCTGCCGACAACTCCGCTGCTTGTTGACGAGCAACCAACTCCGCAGCTTTTCCGGCTCGACCTCCAAAAACCCGGCGAGTTTCTGGATGCTCATCGTCGTGTAGAGTTTCAGGTACGACTTGATCAGCGGGTTGAAGAGGGTGTTGCGGACTTCGTCCATGAAGATCTCGGTGTGGTGGTCCACGGGGTCGATGTTCAGCGACGGGTTATCAAAGTCCGGCGGTGTCGGCGTGATGAACTTCGGGCAGGCGGATTGGAACAACTCCTTGAAGATGGGCAAGCTCTCGGTGCCGCCGCGTTGCAGTTTTGCGAACTTCTCGCCGTACTTTTCGCGCAGGGTCGTGTGGATCGAGTCGTCCAGGCGCGTGGGCGCAAAGGACACGCAGATGGCGATGAGGGCGTACATTTGTTCCGTCTTTTTCGCAATGGCGTCGAATGTCCCTTGATTGGGTCCCTTTTGGAAGTTCTTGGTGCGGGACACGTACACCAGGATGTGGCTGAACATGCGCACGGCGTCCGCATAGCGGCGGAGCATCATGTAAGAGAAGCCGACATAATAGTATGTGTTCAGGTGCGCGGCCATGACGCGGGCGAACATGGCTTTCTTGTTCATCTCAATGTCGTCTAGGGTCTTGAGGGCGAGACTGAAGTCTCCAAGGAGGCAGTGCACCCGCAAAAGGCCGATGATGGAGAAATATCCCAGCATGCGGTAGAGCGGGCGCGAGCCATACTCCCCTGCTACAGCCATGGGGTCCTCACCCCTCTTTGTAGCGGCAAGCTGTTCATTGATCTGTGAGCGCTGGATCAAGGAATACAGAACGTTGAGAACGCTGTAGCAGCCCCATGTGTTGGGATTTTCTCGCAGGACTTGCGCTTCTTCTTCAGTGGGTGCGGTGCGGGCCACTCGGTTGCGGTAGCGACAGAAGGATTCGAATTGGTAGATGAATTCATCGATCACGTCCCAAGCCCAGTAGTAAGAAGGTGTCTCGATTTCTACAGGGCCATCGGAGTTGAGGATGTAGTGGAAAAGCGAGCAGTAGTTGTCATAACTTTGGAATCTGCGAGAGACATTGTCAGTCCCGTGCCTGGTAACAGCAACGTACCCCTGCGATGACATTGAAAACGGAAACATCTTGGGACGACTCACTTGGTTTCCAGGCTCGCTTGGAACTCCAAGGGCGCCGCAGCGGCTTCAAGTTGCGCTCGCAGATCCGCAGGTCCACCACTGATGATCGAGTCTCCTCGCTCCAAGTCCGCACCCTCATCGTCGTAGTTATTCACTTGCTCTTGATAATCCGCCACGAGGGTTTCTTCTTCCACATCCTCGTCCGGGAATGCGTTACCGTTTGCGTAGGACATTGTGGCCGGAGGGAAGAATTTCTTCTAACAGGATATTTCGATTCAGGCGGAGAGCAGGACTGAAGATGGGGAAATCACAAACAACAGGGAGCCCATGCACAGTGCTTTCGTGCCAACACCTTCCCCGATACTGTTGTGATCGGTGCAAGTAAAATTTCGCGGCCGCCTCGAGGTTTGGAGAATTGAGAAAGATGTGTGGGCTCAGTTCAAAATCTACTTCAGGACTAGCGCAGCCTTGTCTCGATGACGTCTGGTGGAAGCCTCGTCAAGCCCGCCAACTTCTTGCCATGTCAGTAACGGAGGAGACATTACATCAAGCTTCTCGTGCCAAATTCGTGGAATCAAGATAAAATAGAAATGGCGACATCCTATGAATCATTCTCACAGACCTTCAAAGTCGCGTTGATCCAGCTTCATCCCAAGGTAGGGTCCTTTTCTTATCAACAGCAAAATCTATATCCGCGCCCTGTAATAGAGGCGTACTGACATCGACAACCAGCCTCTTGACCTGGAACACAACTTCTCCGCTGCATCAGCTTATATCCGTGATGCGGCTGCACAAGGAGCCTCGCTGGCAGTCCTGCCAGAGTACCACCTAACATCATGGGTGCCCGAAGACCCACAGTTCGCCGTCCTGGCCCAAACCGCGTATCAATACGTGCCCAAGTATCAAGCGCTGGCTCGGGAGTTGAAGATCAACATCGTTCCGGGGACCATCGTCACCACTGATCCCAAATCGCCGCCTCCCGCTACCAGCAATGGAACGTCGTCCGCAGACTCCAAAAATTCGCCAGTCCTCCTCAACATCGCCCCCTTCATCTCCTACACAGGCGAGCTTCTGGGGAGCTACACCAAAGCCAACTTGTGGCACCCCGAACGCACAGTCCTCACGTCAGGCCCGGCCTCCGTCAAGTCCAACAATCAGCATCATCTATCGACTGAAGAAGGTCCACCTCCTCAGCTAAACCCTCACTCTATCATCGAAACTCCCCTCGGACCTCTCGGCATCGTGATATGCTGGGATCTGGCGTTTCCCGAAGCCTGTCGTGCCTTGGTCCGCCAGGGTGCACGCTTGATCATCATTCCCACCTTCTGGACGAGAGACGATCTCACTCCGGAAGGGAGAGCGTACGGGCCGGATGTGGATGCTCAATTCCTGAGCTCCGCCCTTATTACGAGGTCATTTGAGAACACTTGCGCCATCGTCTTCGTCAATGTGGGCGGTCCGAAGTCAGAGGGCTACGCCGGGTTAAGTCAAGTGGTGTTGCCACTTGTTGGCAAAGTACCCGGGTCATTCGAGGATGGAGAGCCAGGAATGAAGATTGTGGAATGTGATATGAGGACAGTCGACGTGGCTGAGGAGAATTACAAGATAAGAGAGGATCTGAAAAGGGAGGACTGGCACTACGGATATAGCCACGACAAATAAAACGAAGCCAAATACAGCTATGAGAGTTGTCACGAACCTGGAAGGATGTATTACAAATCCTGAGAACCAGGACAGAGTCAACTAAAGATGCAGTATCAAGAAGCGTAATCATTGAGACCCCCTCGCCCCTAATTGTGGCATTCACTGATCTGCATTTCTTCCACCTCAGCGCTTCTGATGCCTCTCTCAGTGGCGCGACTGGCAACAAGCCTTCGAAGACAGCATCGTAGCGTCGCTGCTGGGGTCAAGAGAACGAGATACCCTCAACACATGTCACCATCCTGTTCCCCGACGTCCCCTAGCATTCTTGTGCCATTATCCTCAAGCCTCGCCTGCGTCTGAGGACTCCTCGGACTCTTCCGATTCACTCCAGAGCATTTCAAAGCGATTTTTGCGCAACAGTTGGAACGGTTTGCTGGCCGATGACTTGTTCGAGGGCCCCTTGTTCGCAGGCGGCGGTGGCGGTGGTGGCGGCAGAGGTTGAGCACATTCATCGGGATAGAAATCAATCTTGAACCTCTTATATTTCAGCCGCGAAAGCATGCAATTCCTTGCCGTGAGAGCCGACTGAATGCTGTTGAGAGATATGTAGGCATGGCCGTTTTTGAAGAAGAGGTGGACAATTTCCAAGTGATGGATGTGGTCGAGATCTGCTCGAATGCCATCTGCAGTCAATTCTGGACTGGCAAAGCGAATGACCAAATTGCGAGTTCGATCGAGCGTGGTAAGGCTTGGTCGCGTCCGAGTTTGTCGGTCATCCCACGCCGCGTTCACCTGAATCCTGTTAGCAGTCTGCAAGGCCAATTTGTATTTGGGGTCTGCTCGCCTTCTGTCCACCGATGTCGATGCCATGTGTCCGTGCGTAGCGAAGAAAGTTGCTTGCTGCAGCTGGATCCACGAAGCTGACATGGGCGGAGCGGTTGCTGGGTCGCAGATACATTTGCAAGATGGCACCACCCTTGAGACCCTGAGCGAGGCTATCGAGTGTCGCAACAGGCGAGAGTCCGGAGATCACAATTGACCGTTTTGGATTCGTGAGCTCATCACGAGTCTTCTCGACCAATGCCTCTAATATCTCGGCTTGCGTACCACCCTCCTCGGTGCATTCAGCTGTAAGAAGCGAATAGGCCTCTGGGAGTCGCTTGCGAAAATAAGCAAGTTGTTGGCGAAGGACGGAGGTCACGGAGTCAGAGGCTAGAGGGTTGAAAGATCGATGAACGGGTATGGACAGAGTTCTTGAGCCACCATCTGGAAGGGATTCGGTGACGCGAACATTGATGAACTCGTCCGAAGGCGTCGGTGGCAAATTGTCGCCGATCAGAACGTCCAATGTCTCGGTGGTGGCTCCTCCCGCGAGCAATGCCTGCTTCAAGGCAACAAACTGCTGCCCTGTTTTGAGCTGTTGATGGTTGTTAGAGCTGCTGCGGCTTGGATTGCGAGAACAACGAGAAGGAGTAGGTGCTCACCAATGACTGATATTCAGCAACGGATATCGTGATTGTCCCTGCCATTGTAGCAACCTTGGAAGTTGGTGGCCTGCCTCGTCACCAATGCCAAATGGCGAAATGGATGGAGAGAAGGTCGAGAGGCGCAGGCTCGGAGTTTTCCAAGTCGGGAAGGAGGCCACCTGCGCAGTGAGTCGTGCCTTCTGGGAACATTGAAGAATCAGGTATGGCGCCCTCCCTGCTACCACACCCACATACCATATATATTTACTGAGGACCATTCTTGAAGCATTGGCAGACGCTTCTTCGATCAGATCCATCTTTGAAAACACCACCAAACCTAAGGCTTGATCTTCCTAACGCTCAGTCAGTCTCGCCCACCCATCATGCGCCCTCAACTCACCACTGACAAAGGTGTCGTGAGGAACTCCCCAATAGCAGGTTGCTCTGGGTACTTCACCTGAAGCTCGAAGACAGCATTCTCTCAAGCCACACACTCTCCTTTCGCGATATTCGGTGCAGGTTTGCACATCGCACCAAAGCTCCCTCAACCCCTCTGATTCACATCGAGGATCATGTTGTGTAGTCCCGGTCTCTACTAGAACGGCTCCAGCATCCCACCATGCTCGTCACCCTCACAAGATGGGCGTGGACAGGGCCACGTTTGTTGTTCGAACGCAGGCCTGTCATAGTATTCTGGCAATTCCAGCTTCCTTCAGAGCTTCTCGCCGCTTGGTCTGGACTTCAGGGGTCAATTCGGCTTTTGTGCAAACTCTTCTCCATGTTCTTTCAGCACCGAGTCCACCATTTCAATACTCCCTCTGATTAGGCGGGCTCGTTCCTCTGGATGAAGGTCAAGGAATTCCTGGAACTCCTGGAACCACGTATCATCCTTCGCCGGTCCCTTGCCATCATATCCGACACACATCTCGGCAAGGATAGCGAGCGCCAAACGGATCGCCATATCACCTTCATACCTTTGAGGGAGCTCGGTCTGATTGATTGGGCGAAATATTGACTCGGGATCATTTTTGTCAATAGCCAGGGAAAGACATTGCATTCGGTCCTCAAACGTCCACCATTTGGGTAAGATCTTCGAGTCTTCGGCCAAATCGAGAAATCGTTGGAAGTCATCACTGGCTATGGTGCACAGAATCAACAACAGCCCTAGCAGGATATTCGGGGGTTTGAGGAAGTGGTGCTCACCGTCTCCCTTGGCCCAGACTAGGCCGTCGATGGGTTTCCCCGGGTAGTAGATGCCATGATCCTCGTCTCGAGATAGGTGGTCTGTCTCGACTCTCAAGCGATAGGCATCAATGACGAGTCGCAGAACTTCGTCGTGGGTGTATGATGAGAGGTAGGCATTCGGATCTCCTTTACCCTGGACCATGTTGCAAAACGACTTGTGCTTGCGCCAGTGGGCTTTTTGACATCTAGCAGGAGGTCAGTGTGTTTACACTTGAGCATATGCGCAGGATTACTCTTTGGAGCAGTAGTCAACCAACAAACAGCCCTGGCATCGCCTCAGAGGCTTCTGGAATCCCAGAGCCAAGCAGTTCGCGCAGACGGAGAGTTTCTTGCCGTGCATATACTCGTGCTCGATTTGTCCCACATATGCCACGCCGCATATAGGGAAGGTCTTGGTAGGGGTCGCCATTGCCCTTGAGATTTGCGTGAATGGCTTGTCCAAAAGGGAAAACAATGGTGACAAAGCCCAAGGACCCAAGGACCTGAAGAGATGAATGATGGGCGGCAGTGGCAGCTAATTTGGTTTAGATTAGCCGAGGTTTTGGCGAAGCACCTCGCCGCTTTTACACTTGTGCCCAGCCAGATACGTCAGATCTGTCTTGGGAGCCTTGGATGGTCGCGTTGTCCGACTGACGCTGCTGTGCCTTGTTTTGGGCGGATCATCACGGATCTTCCATCATCCTCACCGACGTCCAAGTCACGTCCTCTGAACAGCATCAACGCCTTCAAATCATCTATCCTGAAGGTATCGGATTTTGACAGCCGCCATCATCATCCAGAAGACCATCTGCGTCTTGCCCTCATCTGTCTCCCTCTCCGACACTTCCCGGTCATTGTTGCTGGATTCCGAACGCACCTGGGCACGCCGACCGGATATCCAGTCTTGATTATCTCGAGATGGCGAAACCCATCGATAATCCCTGCGAGGACGAGCCACAGGCTTTGCCCTTCAGGACTGGAGGTCCCCTGGCTCGCATCGAAGAATACACCATCTTCTACTTCCTGGCCATCTGCTCATGGTGCCTGGAGATCGCTGCAGCATGCGTAGGATCTCTCCTAGGAGGACAAAGTCATCCGTTCATTGGCACTATTACACCGTTTCTTGTCATGCATTGGTGAGTCCTTTCGCATCTTCCCTCACACTTCCAGATGTGTGTTTCGTTTTGTCTGATAGATGGCACCTAAATAGGATGGCATTCCTGCAAACTTGCTGGATGATGGCGACCGCGCCGCGCAACTCTATCGCAGACCGGATGGCCTACCTCAATCTTGCTTGTAGATTCCAAAGACTCTGTGCTGTAAGTCAGCAACCGCGCGTTCAGGTTTGCCCCGACTAACTTCTCAGCCAACTGCCCTGATCGGCATGGTTACCTGGGCAGTCGCATATCGGTTTCGCGGCAAAGCCTCCAGTCCAGCGTATTGGATTATCTTTTTGATCGTTTGGATTCTCGAAACCGTCGTCTGTATCATGAACGTCTACAACAACATCACCTGGGAGAGCGATCTGCTATATCAACTCGCTCCCGATGTGCCCCAGGGGAATTTCTGGCTTGCAGTCCTGGGCATTCGGTCCATGTGCCGCGTGAAGCACAAGCATCACGAAAACATGGAAATGGAACTGAAACAAACCTCCAGCAAAAGGGTGTAACCACAGGGATTGGATGAAGCGAGTTTACTGCGACGTATTGGGTTCATGATCTGTAGCTACTTTGGTCGGAAATATGGTGGCGTACGGTACCAAATCTAGTCATTGTTACTCTAATGCATAGCGGCCCTCAGTACGCCGCATTGTACACAGTCGCTTCCAACACATAGCAGACGAACTTCAAAAGCAACATGATTCTCGTAGATGGACCCGTACTTTCAAGAGTAATGGCTCTGCGTGGATGCTGGCCGCGTCTTGTTGCGGGTTTTACCATCTTGACATCCACGGCCCCAAGGCCCGACTTTTGCGGCCTGGAACTGGCCCATATCAGGCCAACGACACGCTAAATGCAGCCATGAACCGTCTGATGTTGTCGCACCCCTCTCCCGACCCCGCAAGCAGTGAGGACTTCCACTGCAGGCCAGAAGAGCAGTTGTAGAGACAGAGTCCCTCTCCAACTGCGGGATGGCAGGAATCACACATTTCGACAAGGCTCATTCCAACCCTCAGAACCAGATGTCTGGCTGGTAATCTGCTGTGAGTCTGGGGTCCTCGCCGAAACGCGCTTGCCAGGAGCCGAAACCTCCTTCAAGAACGCAAACCTCCTGCGAAGGCGTCGCCGAATCCTTCTTCTGCTCCTCGTCCTGATCCTCCTTGTTTTTTCCCGTCTCTTCTTCTTTCGATTGTGCCTGCTGCTGCTCACGGGCCTCTTTAGCGTCCGCCCTCTGCTTCGCCCTCGCGTACGCCAAGGCCGCCTTTGGCCCTCTCTGTTGACTCAACATACAGTGGAAGATGACTTTTTCCTTGTCTTTCAGCGTCCGTACTAGTTCGGGCATTCTCACTTCCAGTTGGTGCAGGGGCACCCAGGTGCTGCCCTTGATGTTGCCGCCAATGTGGTCCGAGTCACGGACGTCTATTATGGCGATCTTGGCCTTCTCTGTGGGATCTAGCAGGAGGGTACTCAGCGTCGTGGGGTGGACGTATTTGAGGGACGAGAGCGTGATCAGGTTGGCGTTTGCGGACATTCTGCGGGGCGCAGGGGCACGGAGGGTGCGGATGATTAGTTGCTTGAGTGTTCGTGGCAGACGTAGACCATTAAAGGAGACGCTCTGACAGCTCATCAACGCTTCCTGTGTCTAGGATGCTCGTATGTGGCTGATTCGAACCCTACAGGGAAGAAGGACACTCGATGTCTGCAGCTGGATCTCGGTCCGCAGAAGCCCGAATGTGATTGGCTGGCGATTCTGCGTCGCCGAGCTTTGAAATTGCAGCCTCTTCTATCAATCGAAGTGTCTAACTGCACATTCCATCACCCGCACACTGCATCCCGCCCACTCTTCTTTTCTCGAGTCTTTCTGTCTACGGGACGTGCATGTTTTCACCTCCGTGCACTCTGTTGCTCGAGAATCAGCGAGGATGAAGGCAGCTCAATCTCTGCAGACTTGTGCACGCTGTGCTTTATTTCCCCCAAGATCATCACCACACCTCTTCATCTCCTCGAGCTACCAGAGGTCAACGATCCACGATGCCGTCAATCCTGTACTGCGAGGACAAGCAAGACAGCTCTGCTCTACAGCTCCTAGATCCCAAAGCTCGCCTCTCGCATCATCGAAACCCCAACCCTCCAGAAAAACCAACAACAACAACAACAACTCGTCTCCCAACCCGATGAGAAATCAGCTAATGGACCTGATCCGCGAGACGCGGGCCCCGGAGCCCAAGAGGACAACAGAAACCGTCGCCTCGCGCTGGGACCAACTACTGGGCACAGCGCGGAACAACCAGAACGCCGCTTCGAGGAGCAACAACCAGAACAACACCGCCTCTCCCACGACCTCGACACTCCTCTCCGACCTGCACGAAGACATTTACTCGTCGTCAATACCCCCAATCACACTGCGCCTGCGCCCGACGCTGGGCCGCACCGTGGACGGCATCTACGGCGACCCGACGCGCGGCTTCCGCCTGCTCGAGCGCAAGTGCAACGAGAACAGCGTCAGGGCCGACATGCGGAGCCAGGAGAAGCACGTCCGCCGGGGCCAGCGGAGGAAGAACATCCGCATCTTGAGGTGGCGCAAGCTGTTCATGGAAGGGTTCCGGAGCGAGTTGGGCAGGATTCGCAGGATGAGGAGCCAGGGCTGGTAAAAACAGGAAAAAAAGGGGGGAGATCCAGAAGAACCACGATGACCCAAATTCCCTCAATGATGGGTTCGGGATGATGGAGCAGGAGGAAAGAAGTGGGAGAGGTTGGGTTCCTCTGTACGAGGTACACATCGCAGAGGTGGAACACCCAGGCAATGGCCCCTACTCATATAATAATGTATCACCACCACCAACACCCATTCCACCTGGGGCTCAGAACAGATAAATGGACCCTGCACTTCTCCCTCGCCTCTCTCTTCGCTCCTTTTGCGTCTTTGGCAGCTTCCACAACCCTCTCCTTCTCCAAAAACAAGCGGTTTTTCCTTACTGTCCATCTAGCTCGGGTTGGACATAGTATCGCATGGCATAGGACGGCTGCAAAAGTCTCGACGACATCATTTAGAAAAAGGGTAGGGTCGACGAGACGAAATAAAATGGTACAGTCGACATCGGAGACGTTGCGCGTGCTGGCTTTGCCTTTGTTTCTGTGTCGAGTACGAGGTATGCTATACACATATCGTTACCGATTACCGATACCGTTACCGTTATCCAGAGCCGGGTCGTAGAAAACTTACAGTGAGCTTTTACTGTGCTGTGCTCTTGATACACCTACTATTATTACTCGGGTATATGAACGTCTGATTTTGCAAGATTAGAGAACAAAGATTCTTTGTTTTTTGGTGGTTTTTTTTTTGGTTTGCTTGTGTTATTTTGAAGACAGTGGTGCCGGAACCGACTGCCTCCCTTGTTCAGAGCCTCTCTCTGAACTGAAAACAAGGCCATCATCGAATCTCGCCTCTGATATCACGTTTGGATACCAAGAGTGGCCTGGCAACGCCATATCCTTCTTGTTGCAGGTTGGGCGTATGTCTCCACCATCGTTTGTTCGATCTGCCGAGATGGACCCGATGAAAAGAAATCGCCCTTCAAGCCTGGCGTGCGTTCCAATAACTCAATGACAAAATGCTCAAAGTATCAACTAACAGGTCGACTCCCTCCGCCGCCATCGTCGCGAGCATCGTCGCAAGCATCGTCCATCCCCATCGCCCGGCAATCTTTCCTTTCCAAAGCAAGCCACAATGCTGACAATGCTCGAGATGTCGACGGCACCTCTAAAGCGTGCCCCGGCTCCCCAGCCCCCATTTCCACATCTCCATTTTGTTTCGCGTTGTTCAGTAAGGCTTCCTCGCCAACTTCGCAATCTGCATGAGATCGCAGGTCATGTCCGTTCCGGCGTTAGCCTGAAGAGCTTCGTACTGCATCTCCGTTTGTTCCAACTTGCGCTTGATATCGTCGTCCTCGGGATACTTGGCCGCCGCAGAGCTGAGGACATTGATTTGTGCCGGAAGAGATGTGACTGCAGGCGACTGTTTGTCGTACCACTCCAAGAATTCGATGATCTCGCCATCAATCACGGTTGTCTTGCCGCTGACAACTTGCTCGCAGCCAGGCTTCACGCAGAATGACTGAAAGCCCCGGATCGCGTCCCCCTTTTGCGCTTCAGTTCGGAGCTGAAGGATGCAACGATGGCAGTACAAATGCAGGCAGTTGAGGACTCGGACGTCGCGCTTGGCGGCGTGACAGCGGGAACATTTGAGGATTTCGGATATGTCCTGGCTGGTCTGATGGAGTTGTTCGAGGTGTTTCATGAACATGACAAAGGTATGCGCGATGGCTTCTCTGAAGTTAGCCTTGTCCATCGGGCTTGAAAGATATGGCTTACCTGGTTCCTTCTCGAGTCTGGCCTTCTTGCCTTGTTTGACTGCACCTGGACTTGGGGTTGTTTCATCGTCCCTGCCACGCTTCGCGCCCGCAGTAGCACCAGCATCAGCCGCCGCAGGCGGGGCCTTGGGGATGCGGGTCGTTGAGGGTTTTTTCAATGTCTCAAGAAATCCCGGGAAACTCTTCTGAAGAGTTGACATTCCGTGTGCGATAACACTTCCTCGATCTGCTGGGGGGATTGCAGTGGTCGCAACCGGCGAAGAAAATAGGCCAGGAGTGCTGGCTAGGGCAGATGCAGCACGGGTTGGCAGAGCACTGGCACCATTGTAAGGATGGGCGGAAGAGCTACTCTCGGACTTGATGGAGGGCGAGAGCAATGAGACGACGGACGCATCTCTGGCTACTCGGATGCTCGGGCTTTGGGCAGCTGTGGCCTCAACGGCAGGTAAGTACGGATTGACGGGGGCCGGTGAGGCAGATGTGAAGCTGGGAAGAACAGGGACTTTCTGACGCTGCTGTTCTTTGGTTTGATTGTACTCCACGATACGAAGAGCGACGTTGTGAGCAAAGTAATAAGGTTCGCCACTCAGTTCGGTCAATATCGCCATGAGCAGGAGGTTGTTGTCGGCAATTGTCCCGTGGTTCTGGCTAATTGCCTCTATCGCACTCTTCAACTTTGGGTTGCCGTGCATCTTGGTGCAGATACCGTCGATGACAAAGTCGTCACCAATGACTCTGCGTTGAAAGTCGGGCTGACTCTGCGAACGATGTTCCTTGAAGAGTCTGTCGTCGAGTTCATTCATGATGCCGCGGATTTTGTCGTCGTTAAAGTTGATTCTCTCCTGGACGCCTCTGAGTCGGTCTTCAAGTGAATCTCGCTCGAGCTGGAGTGCTTGCGCCGCCGCCTCGAATTGGTGGAGTTGCTCACGGAGAACTTTGGTTGTTGGTCGGAGAATAAGTGGCAGCTTGGGGGGCATCTTGGAGGATGAAACAAAACAACAAAATAAATAACGACGCGCACGTCGTGGATGTCGTGGAAGTCGGTGTTACTTGGCGATGTCCTTCACTCTCTCTCTCTCTTTAAGGAGCAAGTCTGCCGGCTGTGAATGTCGGATGAGCGTGAAGAGGCAGGCGGCAACTGCGTTGGCAAGTCACAGGATGGATGTATTCACTGGGATAGACGCCTTTCTCTTTACCACAGCAGCATGGCATATGCATAGGCGGTGACCGTAGAGAGACCACATGAAGTGATGTAGACTATCCGGGGTGACTTTGTAGAGTCTGGATATGAGCTGTCAACTGGAGGGGAAAGAGACGTGCAGGAGGAAGCTCTAGACAACTCGCTCGTTGGCTGTTGATAATGGTGACAACATGCCATGATATCGTTACTACTATAGTAAGGTATATTCCTCTATTGACAGTGGGAGTGAAGACAAGGACAGTCACAGACAGATGAACGTTGCGGTCCCCTGGCGAGCGATGTTGTCAACAAAGGACAACCACCCCATCATATAGTTCCTTGAAGGCCTCCGCGCCCAAACTTGGAAGGACAGAAAGAGCCTTCATCCCAAGCTGTACTGCTCAAGGATCAGCGTCCTTCATATTCGATTTGAATCTTTCGATCGCCCTCTGCTTGGTCTTCTGCCAGTCGACGTATGGCTTGGGATACCCCAGTTTCTCAAACTCCTGCTTATCCAACCGGTGATAGGGATCAAAGATGGCCTTTCCCTTGACATCCTTCAACTCCGGGATCCACTTGCGGATGTACTCTCCCTCGGGATCATTCTTCTCGGCCTGGCTGACAGGGTTGAACACGGTGTAGCTGGGTTCCCAGCCTTGCGTGTTGTTGCTAAGATCCCAATCGATCAACGTCTCTGCAAAGTATCGCTCCCCACGCCTATAGTCGACGAGCAGATTGCAGTACAAGTAGCTCGAGACGTTCATGCGGAGGCGGTTGTGCATGTACGCCTCCTGTTTGATTTGTCGCATCCCAGCGTCCACGAAGGGAACGCCCAACGTGCCCTCTTCCCAGCGTTTGTACCCTTCCTCATCTTCTTCCCAGTCCACAAAGTCGAATTTCAAATTCTGCGGTAGGTTCATCGACGTGTGAGGGGTCTGGAGCAGAGTCTGCCGATACAGCTCCCTGAAGACGATTTCGCGGACCCAGCCAGACCTTCCTGGGTCGCAGCCTTGATTGGAGAAATCGGTGGAGTTGTCATTCCGCTTGCTCACCGAGGTGAGGATTTCGCGAATGGAGAGGACACCAGCACTGAAGTATGCAGAGAGCCGGGACGTAGAGTCCTTTGCTGGATTGGAGCGTGTGGCCGCATAGTCGGCGATCTTGTCGTCAAGGAAGTGATTGAGCCGCTGAACAGCAGCGTCGTGACCTGCGGGCCAGAGTTTGCGAATTCGTTCCCTTTCCTCATCAGAGGCAAATTGCTTTTCCTGGGGTGGGCTGGGAACAGGACTGCCAAAGAACCGATCCAGCTCTTTCTTTGATTCGGTGGAATTCTTCGAAGGCGCGGGGACAGTGTCGAGAAGACCTGGATTTGCCTTGACTTCAGCAAGCCACGCCCTGTGGTATGGTGTGAATACTTTCATGGCCTTCCCGCTGTCTGTAAGTACGGTGCCTGGCTCCACTACCGTCTGATCGTGATGAAAAGAGAGATGGAATCCCTTGGACTTGGAGTTCCCAGCAGTGGCCTCCTTGAAAACCTGGATGTCGCGGCGCAACTCGTCGATTTCATACTCGTAGTTTGCATACACATGCGAGATGTCGTTTTCACGAACGAAGTTAACAATCGTCGGAACGATCTCGTCACGTTCACTGGCTTCCAAGAAGGCCAAAGGAATGCCCAATGCCTCAAGCTCAGCCTTCATAAGCGCAAGATTTTCAAAGATGAAGTCCGTTCTGGCCGGTGATGTGCCATGCCAACGGAACTCGGCTGGACAGTTGACATACACGCACAACAAAGAAGCATGCGATTCTTTTGCCAACTGAGAGGCCGCGCTCAATGCTCGATTGTCGTGGATGCGCAGGTCCTTGCTCCGGAACCAATGCAGCACCCTCCTGGTGTCGCTGGGACACTCCTGGTCGGCAAGGAGAGACCGCAGTTCCTCATAGGGAGTGTGCGCATCGATCTCTTTGGCCCGCTTAGTGCTTGGGTGCTTCTGCTCCGGATGAGCTGGCTCGCTTCTCTTGGACATCGTCGAGGATCTACTACTCTTGGATGTAAAGCTTCTGACGGGCGCCAAATGGGCACAGGAAAGGGGGCCGCGCCTGGGAAATAGACCAAAACAGCTTGTTGAACAGCGATGAAACCGAGGGCCGGAGGCAGTCCTTAAAACGAGCGACGTCAAGACCTGCATCCCCCCCACTCGATCGAGAAACTAGGCGAGCTGACAGAGATCCTCAGATCTCAGAAAAAGCAGATCCATGGATCTACACAGCTCGCTCAAGTATCTGGAGTCATGACGTAACGATAGCAATGGCGACGGAAACACCCTGCCAAGCATTTACCTGGCAATGGAAGCTTCATGGAGGCCAGGAACCAAAGAGGGTGCCATGAAAGCATGCAAATGAGTACCCTTTGTTGAGAACAGAAGCTTTGGTGTTGATGATGCAATGGCCTGGTACAACAAACGCCGTCCTGCTGTCCTGGCGCCCACAAAGAGTACCTAGGTACTTACCTGTCTCGACGCCGATATACTGCCCTACCTTATATCCTACCGAAAGCATGAATGGCTGATGGGTGGCTGAGTAGGCAAAGGATAACTACCCAAGTGTCGCGAACAAGGGTTTTGAACCCAGGCGTGGAGAGAGCAGAGTATATCAAGGAGGAAGACGCTCTAGCCCGCGGTCTGTCAGGACGCACAGAGTCGCGGGTGCGCCAGCAACGGTCATACCACAAGCGGGGCATAATTCAGTCGCAACAGATAACGTTGCAGGTAGAAAAGTACTTGATTGTCGATAGGAAGTCTCCCCAAAAAAACACAACCACGAAGTGTGAATTTTAACTCGGAAGGCTACCATATGAGTCCCGGATGCTATTTCCGACCGGATAATGAATGTAGAAAGAGCTGCGAGCAGGATGCTCGATGGATTATCATGTGGCCTGGTATGAACAAACAAGGGTCATCTTCAAGTCAAAGGGGGTGGGCATGTGGCTCGATCAGGAATTACCTAGGTAGACTGGGCAGTGGGCACCAACCTGGTGCTTGCAGGCTCCATAAGAAAAGGGCCGTCTTCAGATGAGAAATGGGGGGGATGCCTTACTCCGTCGGTACCGAAGAAAGACACAGCGGCAGCTTCTGGAAAGAATGGATACGCACAAAGAGTGGGCAAAGAGTGGGCTTGGATCTTCATTGTCCGTTGGGTTGGCTGCATTAGCCGTCTGCTGGTTCGTGTTCGGTTATTTGAAGCGAGAACAGGAACTTGCACCACTTGCTGGACTCGTAATGGGGGGCGGGTGATGTAGGGGGCTATTGAACGCTCCCTTTGTCTTGCTCTTTGCTTTTCTTGTCTGCCCTGGTTCTTTCTTTGGTGAAATGGTTTCACCTTGTGAATTTGTCCGGGATAAGCCCACGAGTAACGAGTCAGTAGGCGACGGTGAAACAGCCTAAACGGGGCATTTGGATGAGAAAACGAAAAAAACAAAGAAGTTTAGGGCTTTCTGGGCATTCTACCTGAGGTCGAACGGTACCGGCTACTGTGATGGCATAGGAAACTGCAATTGGCAAACCTTGGTCAACGCCGTTTCTGTTGAATATTTATCCCCTCGGAGATCCAGGTTGGGTCCATGCCGAACAGCGCAGACTATCATCCCTTATACCGCCAGGGTTGCTAGTTATGCAACCATGAGTTCCTCGCTCCCCCTTGTACTCGGTACGTACAGTGGCATGACCACTCGTACTGGGAAGAAGCAATCCTTGGTCAGCTCGGCAGGCATCTAGTTGCTGGGTGGTTGGTTAGCACCACTTCCTTCCCAGCTTGCCAACAATCCAAAGACAAAATTTGAGACCGACTCGGGCCAACCAACGAGGCCGAGATAGGGCCTGGTGAATTAGTGGTTCGTTTAGGAAATCAGCGTCGTACCGACATTGGGTTTCTGACCTGGTCTGGCTGCTCGGACAATTGCGCGCGGACAAGCGGAATAAGGCCGGTGACCGTCCGCGTATTCCGCTGAACAGTTGGATTTGGATGACTGACACGGGAGCCTTTCAGTTTCTGGCAAGTGAATGTCGATGCGGATGACAGTGTAAACATTAAAGAATGCATTTCCTGACAAGGCTGACAGCCGAGATAGCGGTCGAGCCAGGCGAGAAAAACATCCGAGTTGTGAAGATGATTAACTGACTATTCCCGCCGCAGTGAGACGGCCAGACTATATCAATACTAGGAGCAATAATACGCTCGCAAGCTTGATATATGAAATCATGATCCCATGACCTCTTCTTACGAATCCACTGTCGCCTGGCAAGATTTTGTTTGCAGGGAATACTCGGTGCTCATATATCGACAACCACCTTGTCCGGGGCATTTCACGACGTCATGATTGAAGCGGGTCATGGCTGGGAAGGGGGTTTGCAGTTGTGCGCCCTTCACCACGTGGACTGCGGAGCTCACAAAGGTGGATATAGCTGTCCATCTTAACGGCTTTTCCTGCGAGTACAAGTAGAATTCGTAGCACAAGCCTGCCCTGGGTCGAATTCTATAAACCCGAAGATATCTGGTTCTGGGTGCAAGCATCCGTCCAAGTTGAGGTCAGAGTGTTGGATTTTTCCGAGCAAACCCAAAGAGCACAGTCGTCGAATCAAGGGCGAGGCGAGCAATGACCGAGTGGCAACCATGGCAGATCTTTGCCTGCTTGTTGGAGGGCACAGACTGAGAATCCCTGAAAGTCGTCCATCATTGTCGAACCAAGGAACCCTCTAGCATCCACTTCTTGCAATTTCTGGTAGGCAGAATGACAGATCACAGGAAAACACAGGCAGAACAAAAGGAGTCAAGTCACACCTGGCCATGAGTTCTGACATGGCGAGACACTCTAAGCTTCGGATGCAAATGTGACAAGGGGTCGAGTCCTACACAATCCTTCTCTGTAGAGTACTCGGAGTGCTACTTCTTTTTGATTTCTTGTAGCCATAGCTTCTGCCGTCAGCGTGGCAAATGGTCTGTAATAGTTCTTCAAGCTGATGCAAGTCGGTCGGAGAGCCGCCTTCTTCCGACGCGACAAAATAATGCATCGCTCATGTATTCGGTCCAAGGCTTTACCACATGAAAATGACACTGGTTCTGTGTGGTCAGCATGGCCCGTAACCTTCCAAGGAATATGAGCTGTGGCACGAGACCGTGCTTGATTTGTTCTGTCCAGCTTCAAATATTGCTGACAAGAAGAACCCACAGCCAGCGTCTTGAGTTCTATTCTGTGACACAGTCAGTGCCATCCATATACAACGGAGTAGTGCACAAATGGGGGCCAAAATCGTAGGCAAGGCTTGCAAGCAAGAGTTTCAAAGCGGTCTTCAACGACCAGCCAGCCTGGCTGAGCTAATAAGGGGCTTGTCCGGGTCAACGCAACGAACAAGAAGAAAATAATTAAGACGCCGTAGTTCTGGAATGGTCAGAAACCCAGAATTCTAGAGTCCTAGGGCCATGGCTGGGTTAAAATTTGAGGTTGCATCGAGGCCGACCTGTCCTTCCATGAACCATGCGGAACAGCTTCGGGGGAAATTTTCACATTCACAAGGAGTCGCCGGCGCTTTGTCTGCCTTTGTCGGCTGGCAAATCGTGACTGGCCGCGGACAACTCTGACCTGGCCACTTTTTCTGGCAATGATGCGTCTAGCATCAAGCATCCTCTTGGAATCCCACCCTGAAGGGGGCAAAAGGCTCCGAGTAGCCGTGAGGATCGAGACGAGTGATTGGTGAGAGAAGCAATATTATGGCATTGGTATTTCGGAATCCACTCAGACAAGATCCCACCGAATCGCTCCCGAACTTTGTCTTGCAGCTTTCCCACCCATCGTGTCTCTGGGCTTGGTATAAGGTTGTGTCCAAGGCAGTCACCGCGAACCCAATGGGCCGGATTTGGCACCTACAATCTCAGCACCGACCTGTTCAGGGTTCGGTAACAGCCTTGACGCCTAATAGTGCCGCGTCGCCGGACAAGAGCGCCGAGTGGCGCCTGAAGCGAAGGGCTGGTGAGGCGCGGTCAGCGCCTGACCAAGCCCAAACAAGGCAGTTTGGAAGATGAGCGAGAGGGACGCTCCGAAAGTCCCTACGGGGTACTTTGGACTGTACGAGTAACTTGGATATTCCAAGAAGGTGGAATGGGTTTGGCGGGGTGCTCCTGGCCGAGAGGGGGTTGATTTTGTCAACATCGCTGCGGTTTATGACTGAGATATCTGCTGGGTTAGCAATACTAATACTCGGTACATGATGTACGAGGATACGCGCACCTCCAGCAACCGAGGGGGTTCGAGGTCGTTGGTGACGAGTTCGATACTTGTTCAGAATCCAGATGGTCAGCCTAGGGGAAGCCCGGCGTCATCGCCTGACTCGGTCGCAACGAACAAATGGCAAATGGTTGATTCCGGCTGGGCTTTGGGCTCGTCGAGCTCTTAGCAGGCTAATCCCTGCCTAGTGGCTCTCAACCTCGTCCGTGGCAGTTTCCCTCGGCCGCTGGGCCACCCTGCTTTTTCCTTTGTTTGGGAGGCGTTTTCCGTTCATCTCCGCCAATACTCGATTTGTTTGCCTCCATCCACCCCCTGTCTTGCCTCGTCCACGCCATTTTTGTGCAAGTGATATGCGGCCACGGAGCCTGCCCCAAGCAATACCGTACGCTGCACATGAAAATTGAGGATAAAAGGGCATGAATGGCGGCTTGGCCAAGGAACGAGAAGTTCTTTTCATTATTGAGGCAATGAACACCGGGTACTCGTAGATACTGAAAGCACTCGTACTGGTAGCTGTTTCCCGCAGACCCTTTCCCCTGCGAAGCCCTTGTGCCCTTGCCGCCCTTACCAACAAGATGGTCGATGCGTGTGCTGGCCATGGAGGTACTTGTCCCGAGCATAGGTATACGAATACTCACTCGTGCTCTGCCCTTAGCTGATCTAAAGTTTGTTTCAAGCCAAAAAGTAAATGCACATTGTTTCTTCCAAGCTTGATCCAATCATGGCATCGAGTTGCCTTTCAGGAGATTA